TGTTTCTTGTTCTTGGAATGATGTGGAAGTTTTAGTATTCCGGTGCTGTCCGGAGCGGAATTCCGCACAAAGCCGCTCACTTGGCCCGATCAGAGGCCGTCGGAATGATGTGTTTGACGTTCCATTTATTTCCGATCCATCTAATCAGGAATAATCAGTGTGTGATAGATTCACCCCCGGGACCTGCCGACGATTGTTTCCCTCAGGCCAAATGAAAAGAAGTAGTTGGTTTGTGGGGAAAAATGACCAAATAACACTCTAACCAAATTGAGAGCTAAGCAAAAACAAAATATCAAATAGTCAAAATTAGTATAAAAATAAGATTAACCCTTTCCCTCGGGCCAGGGCAAGGGAAATAGTCGGTTTGTGGGAAACTGACCAAATAACACCCTTGGTAAATTAGTAATTTTTCATACACAAAAACTAAATATCAAGACATTGGTGTAGGTTAGACATCCAGGTAATAATGTATGCAAAAAGAACAGTCACTCATTGGAACTGGATATGAATTTGGAAATATCCACACACAAAAATCCAAAATCATATCCAGTTGCTTGAATAGCTGTTTTTTTGTGTGTAAATATCATTACAATATAAAAAAAATGTACAAAACAACAATTCAACTTCTTTTCTCTGGTTAGAGTAAAGGAATAAATTAGAAATGAAATTTTGAAAAACTCCAGATTAACTGTTGCCTGTTGAAGATGAATAAATAATGACCTGTGCGTGTAAACAGACAGAAAGATCGCCCCACAACAAGCAGCAGCCATCAAAGATTCATTATGAGGTGAAATGATGTTATTAACGGCAGAATAACCAGGTTAAAGCGACGACTGGTCACGCTGAACCTTTTCTGTATGTTTCACAGGTTAATAATTGATGCTGGGAACAGGAATAACCAGGGGATAATCGTATTAAACACCAGGTCATGAGTTATGGGGCAATCGGCTCCCGAATTCTGTTCACAAAAATGTAAAGACAGAAAAAATGATGCTAAAATAGAGAGGAATACACTTAGTTGAATTATTCCCTTAGTAGCAATTTGAAATGCAGGATGTCCAAACAGTGTGATCTTGGATTTTTGAAAATGGCCACTGAATTGCTTTTTTAAACTAACTCTTGGATTTTCCTTTTGCCAATAGGAAAACAAAGCTTGAATTGCTTGAGGCTAATCATTTGGATATTCTTTAGTAAACTCTCAAAGTCTTCTGAGCTTAAAGAGTAATACAACTAAATGTCACGTCAACACTGGGTCAAAGGTATCTGGTAGCTCTATAGGTGAGAGTATTTTTGTGTTGGACCAAAGTTTTAACTCTAAACATGTAACTACCAACACAGATGAACTGTCATGATAGTATAAGAATAAGTCAAGTTGTCCTCCCAGCCTTCTGTCTGTCTCTTCATTTTAACATCTTGCTGATTTAGTTGCTTTAAAATGTCTGGGAAGCGAGGAGACAAATTAGGGAGTCTGACTCTGAATGTGTGAACACAAAATTGCCTGGAAAATTGCTTAATGATATTTACACAGATTAGATTTGCAGAGACCTTCTGTGTGATTTGATTGCTGAAAGTGATATGATATATTGTGATTTTCTTTGTGCTGTGTAATATGTTGATCAGTTCTGACTGTAATGATTTAATGACGTTATCTCTGTACATTATCAGGGTTTTAGTCTTGGTTTTGATGACAGTCAGTACAATTGATGTAAGCTTGTTCTGGCATTGCCTTTAGTTGTAAATTGTAGGGCTTGAAATTCATTTCAGTAAAAGGTGCACTGGTGCACCCAACCTAAAAAATTGGGTGCACAAAAATTTTTGGTGCACCAAATAAGATAGTTTTGAACTAATTATGTCTCATTTCTAAAGAAAAGTACTATAACAATGATTTCATTATCTTTCTGACACTTAGATGTTAAGAATATGCTGTATACTACTATGCATTTATCATCTTTACATAGTTAGGCCACACCAAGTAAATTTTATGGATGACGTCCGCGCGCGCATTGATTTTGGCCTGTTCCTAGAAAAAAAAACAAGAAATTCCGCTTCCTGTAACTATGACCAAAGAGTCACGACAGTGCCGCAAATCACCAGATTGATGTGAAACTCGTAACGCGAAGAAAGTGTCTATTGGTATATATTGAAAGTGTATATCAATAACAGAAAATTTGCACTATTGACAGGACCATCCTGTCAATAACAGAAAATTTTTCACTGTCCACTGTTCCACCTGATTTATTGCTGTTTTGATGATGAATAAAAGACTTCTTGCTTGTTACACTGTGTCACCTCATTCAATTTATGTCCTAACATTCGTCGTCTCTTAGTATATTTCCAATCTAGGCATCTTGTTTTTTAGGGCCCTTCTTGTTTTTTTTCGCCCTCTCGCATTAGATTTAGGGTCTCCAAAGGACGTCATCCATAAAATTTACTTGGTGTAGCCTTACGTAAACCTACGAAAATATTTGGGTGCACTGGTGCACCCACAGAAAAAAATGGGTGCACAGCTCCAAATTTTGGTGCACTAAGGTGCACATGCACCCAGTATTTCCAGCCCTGAAATTGTAATATGAATATAAACAAGATGTGTATATATACATATTATAATAATGTTTAGATCATTATCTGAGAATGATTGCATTGCCTTCACTTTGATATTAATATTATAATAATGATATTATGTTTTTCATACATCATGTTACCATCTGTGTATTTAGTTTATTGTCAACTAAGTTTTAATATTACACTGTATAAAGTACTTCATATCAAGTAATATATCTGATATTACACTGTTTTGCTTGTGAAATGAGATTCATAGTCTGAATTACCTGCACCTGTACTCCATAATTCAAGAACATGGAATAACATTTGACTAACAACAAGAGAACTGATATGGGGCCTTTTTCACAAAACTCTTTTACATGTTTACAGAATGTAGACTGCTGACAGTGCAGGTGAAAAACACTTTCATAATCTCAGAGTTATTCTGTTTTCAAATCTACAAGGACTGAGCAATCCACTGTTTCATGCCAACATGTAAAATTTGTGTAAGTCCAATTTTTTGTGTGGTGAATTATCACAGTTTGTATATTTGTCGGAATAACTTCTACCAACACAGATAAATTTTGCAGCTGTGCTGCTCTGTATCAATATATGCAGGTGGCAAATCATTCATTTAATTCGACTATGTTTGACTTTGGCAATCATATCTTGAAGGAAACAGTACTGATCATCGCTAGCGTTGTGTTCGTGCCTCTGTTTAGGAACTTCCCAGCTTGCTTCTCCTTCAGGCCAGTTTGTCATCGCTGTAATTTGACCCCAATCTGCTACCTGAGGTCAGGCCTCATCTTTCTCCCCCTGAAGCAACAGCCCCTTTGGGAGCCCAAATCTGCTCATGGCTAGTGACTACTGATCCAACCTGGGCAACAGCCCTTCTGGGAGCCCAAATCTGCTTACAGCTAGCGACCAGTGATCCAACCATTGGAACAGCCCTTGGGAACCTAAATCTGACCACTGTGCTCATGGCTAGCTACCACTGATCCCAGGGCTGGAAATACCGGGTGCATGTGCACCTTAGTGCACCCAAAATTGGAGCTGTGTACCCTATTTTTTTGTAGATTGGGTGCACCAGTGCACCTATGATTCCTAAAAATGAATTTCTAGTGCTGAATCCTCACTAACCCCACCCCAGGTCAGCTCTTTTGGGAACCCAATTCTGCCATCTTTGCAGTCCTTAGGACAGGACATTCAGGTCTAGTCCACTGTTCGTTGTGCTTGTTGAATCAACGAACCTGTAAATACTGTGTATAATGTCTGTCTTCTCTGGTATGACCAGTGGGTGACCAGTACTTGAGGTGAACTGCCAGGAGTATGCTCTGGTATACGACAACACGTCAGCAGAACGTACTGCACCTGTGCAAATCCCATATAGTGATGTATTGTGCATTGCACTTTGGCAGAACGTCTCGTGTAAGGTCATATTTGCACATATAAGGTTAACACTCCATCTGTAGTTTCCAAAATTAATGTTGTGTCAGAAAAAATATAGTCTGCAACAGGCAAAATTCTGATGCAACGTTGACCAAAAATCCACCAAAAACCGTGAGAAATGGGGGTTATTTGCAGGTGCAGTACGTCCTGCCAACATGCTCTCAGGATAGCACTTCAGAGATCCCAAATCTGCCGTCCGTGTTCATGGCTTGCGACCACTAATCCTACCCCAGGACAAGCATATCTGCAGAACGTACTACACCTGTGCGGAACCCGTAAAATGTGCATAGGACTTCAGAAGAACATCTCATACTAGTAGAAGGGAGGATTTGTGTATGTAAGGTTAACATCCCGTCTGTAGTTTCTAAGTGTTATGTCAGAAAAAATATTGTCTGTAACAGGCAAAATTCTGCTGAAACATTGACCAAAAATCCAACGAAGACCGTGAAAAATCGGGGTTACGTGCAGGTGCAGTACGCTCTGCCAACATGCTCTCGGGATAGCTCATCAGGGAGCCCAAATCTGCCATCCGTGCTTGAGGCTAGCGACCACTAATGCCACCTCAGGACCAAAGGGTCGGGGTTAAAATTCCTGTCTTGAGATTGATATTCCGTTGCTGTCAGTGGTAGTCCCATCTATAGGATGTTGAGTCTGTGGCCCCATGTACAAAGAAGAAGAAGGTCTCCCGTGCTCTTATACCGAGCGTAGGGTGGTGCTCATCTCCATCTGTGTGTAGCCCTTGGGCGACACACAATTGTGCAAGCCACTACAGCAGGGGGCTAGTCCGCTGGTAGTGCTGTATACAAATACAGGCACCATTTTCAGGGTGGGAAGTCTGACCTGTGCCTGTCCCTGTTGCTGAAACTGTGGTGGTTATTATTACAGCACTTTACTATGGGGGATAACTGGTGTGCTAGCTATAGCTAGTATACCAGATGTTAAACCCACCATGTGTTGTTCTCTAGATCCTAATATAACTAACCTAACCACCTGTTTCTTGTGTTTCACAGGTTGTTCTGTGAAAACCCCTGGTGCATGATGGGCTTGTAGAGAGGTCGTCTCCCTGGAAACCGGGTCAAGAGCTACACAGCCATCAAGGAACAAACAGGTAAATGGAGAAGGTCACAAATCTTAACCTGTGACCTTCAGGAATTAAGACACCCTCGGCTGGCTTTATGGGCACATTTGAGACGCCCTGTGGCAGCTTAAGAGAGGGTGTCATATATCTTAACCTGAAAGCTTAACATTTAGCACAATGAAGAAGCCATTTGGCTACCAATTCTCTATTGGCTACAGGGTTAGGCAGTTGGGAGAAGGTTAACCTTTAGCACAATGAAGAAGCCATTTGGCTACCAATTCTCTATTGGCTACAGGGTTAGGCAGTTGGGAGAAGGTTAATCTTTAGCACACTGAAGTAGCCGTTTGGCTACCAATTCTCTATTGGTTACAGGGTTAGGCAGCAGGGAGAAGGTTAACCTTTAGCACACTGAAGTAGTTGTTTGGCTACCAATTCTCTATTGGTTACAGGTTTAGGTAGCAGGGAGAAGGTTAACCTTTAGCACACTGAAGTAGTTGTTTGGCTACCAATTCTCTGTTGGTTACAGGGTTAGGCAGCAGGGAGAAGGTTAACCTTTAGCACACTGAAGTAGCTGTTTGGCTACCAATTCTCTATTGGTTATTGGTTAAAATAGGCAGCAGGGAGAAGGTTAACCTTTAGAACACTAAAGTAACCATTTGGCTACCAGTTCTCTATTGGTTACAGGGTTAGGCAGCAGGGAGAAGGTTAACCTTTAGCACACTGAGTAAGTGTTTGGCTACCAATTTAACAGAGTTAGTAATAGTATAACCTCCCTTGGGCGTAACACACCAGCTTCTGTATCTGTATAGCCGGTATAACCTCCCTTGGGCGTAACACACCAGCTTCTGTATCTGTATAGTCGGTATAATCGCCCTTCGGCGTAACACACCAGCTTCTGTATCTGTATAGCCGCGGTATAACCGCCCTTTGGCGTAACACACCAGCTTCTGTATCTGTATAGCCGGTATAACCTCCCTTGGGCGTAACACACCAGCTTCTGTATCTGTATAGTCGGTATAATCGCCCTTCGGCGTAACACACCAGCTTCTGTATCTGTATAGTCGGTATAACCTCCCTTCGGCGTAACACACCAGCTTCTGTATCTGTATAGTCGGTATAATCGCCCTTCGGCGTAACACACCAGCTTCGCAGGCACGCGGCGCAGCGGCAGCTGGCTATGTCACACCGAACTACTTCTTACACTTAATCTTTGCACATTTGATTGCACATTTAAAAGCTTTCTAGTGATGATGCCCCAACTGTGCTTGGTGGCAACGAGTTCCAGTCTACGATAGTTCTGGGGAAATACAAGTTTTTTAACACCTCAATTATTGGTTGATAACTCTGATATTTGAAGCCATGACTGTTTCTTGTTCTTTTTTGGCTGGTATCAGATGACAGGGTAGTAGGCAACAGGGAAAGGGTTAAGAAACCAGTTATGGCCCATGTGTGACCCCCCTTTAGACCCATCAGTGTTCCCTGTCCCCCCTTAGTGGCCCTTCAGTGACAGAAGTTCCCCTTTATGGTGATGATTTCGGCCCACTTTGCCGTCCTCCTGATGAGGATTTATGTAGAAATGAATCATAAATCGCTCAGATTTGTCTCTCTGGACTCCTTAACTTACTGCACTTACTTAAGTCTGTTGACTCGAGCCTTGCAGTCAACATGTGCACAGATAGTAACTACCACAATGTGTTACCTTTGCCTAGAATATTTTTTTGTTTGGATGTATGTAAAGATATCTTTGGATATGGTTTAGCACAATAACTCAAGAAGCAATGGATGGATTGTCGTGAAATTTTGCATGTGGTTAGGTCCTGACATGTTGAATAAAGTATTAGATTTTTGATCCCCTGGCAGTTTTCCTTGGTACTGCAGCAGACTGATTTCCTATTCTGGACAACTGTGCCTGTCTAGTTCTGTGCCTGAATCAGTTAGGGTTAGGATCAGGAACAGTTCTGGATAGTGTCTGCGTATTCAAGAACATAAATTTTCCCTAGTCATGGTTCTGGATAGTCTCTGTGTATCCAAGAACATAGATTTGCGTGGACTTTCTGCAACCGTGCCTGAGCATGGTTCTGAATAAAGCACGGTTCTGGATACAACAAGACATCCATTCCTTGGTGACTTGTGTTATAAGTGTGACCGAATGGAGGAGTCAACAAAGTTCAATGACCTTTCTCAGCCCAACAGCCAATGCATATTGTATCCATAGTATCTTGTATCCAGAACTGTGCCTACAGTGTATGCCTGAATGGGTAAGGATTAGGATCAGGCATGGTTCAGGATAAAGCATGGTTCTGGATGCAAAAAGACATCTATTCGTTGGTGTTATGTTACATAGTTGCAAAGTTCAGTGACCTTTCCCAGCCCAAACGCGCGACCCGCGTGCCCTCCCCACGCCGCGGGCCGCCGCGGACATCGCCCGTGATTTACCGCGGGCCGTCCCGCAGATTGGCGATTAATTTCTCCCGGGATATCAGATTACCAGGGCGCTGACCTGGGCGATAACTCACAAGCGGAGCCGCGTCTGTCACAAAATCAATCCGGGGAAAACCCTACCAACAGCAATTCTGCCATTTTTACCTCCTTGGTTCCTTCTGAGGAGGACTGGGGTCTTGACCAGAAACCTGACCTTATTTCAGGAAGTTAGTAGGAGGAAAATTTCGTCAAATTAAGCTTTTAAGAAAAAAATTACCATAGATCTAATTTTGCGCTTTTTACCTGCACAGAGTCTTCCAAGGAAGGGACGAGGGTCATGACCTTATTTCTGGAACTTTAAGATATTACAAGGTCATTTCATCATATTAGAGCTTTTTAGAGAAATTTACTGAGAATTCAATCAATCAATCAATAGCCTTTATCTGCCAATTGCAATTCTGCACTTTTTACCTGCACAGGAACTTCCAAGAAGGACTGGGGTCTTGACCTGGTTATGGAAGATAATAGGAGGAAATTTCATCATTATATCAGAGCTTTATAGAAAAAATTTGAAGAGGCCCTGCCAATAGCAATAATCATCACTTTTTACCTCTAGAGAACTTTCCAAGGAAGGCCGAGGGTCATGACCTTATTTCAGGAAGGTAGTAGAAGGAAAATTTCATCATATTACAGCTTTTTAAGAAAATTTACAATATGTCGAGAAGGCCCTGCATGCCAATAGCAATTTTGCTTTTTTTCACCTGTACAAAACCTTCTGAGGACTCCAGGGTCTTGACCTTATTTTGGAAGATATTAGAAGGAAAATTTCATACTATTTTAGCTTTTTAGAAAAAAATTAATATACTTTGAAAAACCCCTGCCAATACCACTTTTGCTCTTTATACCGGCACAGAGTCTTCCAAGGAGTGTCGGGGTCCTGACCTGAAAGTAGAGGGAAAATTTCATCATATTAGAGTTTTTAGAAAAATCTATATATTTTACCTTGGGAAAGCCCTGCCAATGTTGATTATCACTTCTACAAACTCTTGCAAGGAGAAACCCAGATCTTGAATTAAACATACTTGCAAGTAAAACTTCATAGTGTCAGAGTTTAAGATTTTTAAATTTTGAAATCTGGTTTGTCTGAAAACAGCAGTTCTGCACTTTTGTTTGTCAGGAGGGAATATGTTGAGCTTGAAACGTTTTGAAAGAATTTTTGCTCTAGAAGCTGGATTTCTAACTTCTAGGTGACTTTGAAGACTACAAACAAGTTTATATCCGGAAAATGTATCTGCTGAAGTTTATGATTGATGGATTTGATACCAAAGTAACAGTTTGGGCGAGATTCAAACACACAAACTTCTTCTAAATCATGATGGCCAACAACTAGATTACGCCACTCTAAGTGAGGCTGAAAATTAAAAATTTTTGCAGGTTCTGACGTCTATCGTGGAGTTAGCAATACCAGTAAGCAACAGTTTGTTTTGTAGGGTTTGAACCCAGAACCTTTAGGTCCAGGAATGTGACTGAAGATTTAAGACTTAACACGAGTTAACATGAGTCCTTAGAAGTCTTCAAAGAAGTAAGATCTAAGAACTGACCATTTGAGCGGAAACTGGAGCAACCTTGTAGGGGTACACCTAAAGAAAAGGCTAGAGTTTTTTCTATGTTCGGTCGGGAAACAGGATTCATTTTCATAGTCCTTAGAAGTCTTCGAAGAAGTAAGATCCAAGAACCGACCGTTTGAGCAGAAATTGGAGAAACCTTGTAAGGGTCCACCTTAAGAAAAGTCTAGGGTTGGCAGTTTTTTCTAGGGTCGGTCGGGAAACAGGAAACATTTTCCTAGGACTTAGAAGTCTTCAAAGAAGTAAGATCCAAGAACCGACCGTTTGAGCGGAAATTGGAGCAACCTTGTAGGAGTCCACCCAAAGAAAAGGCTAGGGTCGGCAGTTTTTTCTAGGGTTGTTCGGGAAACAGAAAACATTTTCATAGGCCTTAGAAGTCTTCAAAGAAGTAAGATGATCTAAGAACGGACCGTTTGAGCGGAAATTGGTGTGTCCTTGCAGATCAGGATCTGCCCAGTTGTGACGGATCGTCGGATACGGAAGTGCTTTTATCCCCCACTTAACCCTGAGGAGGGCCGAGGCCCCCGGGCTGTCCGGTGATTACATGCCTGACTTAATCAGATTACAGGAGGATAATGTCCTAATTACAGAAGAATCCTGCTGCATTTTGGATGGAGGGAAAACTGGGGCAGGGGAGATCAGAGAGATGGAAGTAGGGCGGGAGTGATGTAACCTACATGTATCTGTCCTCTGGGCATGTTTTTTCCAAGTAGAACAGTTATTTGTTTATTCTTTGGATAGTGTTCTAATTACAGAAGGATCCTCCTGAAGCAGGGATGGAGAGGAGGAAAACTGGGGCAGGGAAGATGAGAGAGATGAGAGAGATGGGAGGGAAGTAGGGCAGGAGTGACGTATGGCACACACCCTGTCCTCTAGATCTGGGCATGTTTTTTTTCAATTTGAACAGTTATTTGTTTATCCTTTGGATAGTGTTTTAATTACAGAAGGATCCTGCTGCATCAGGGATGGAGAGGAGGAAAACTG